GGCTACTCAGCGGTCGTCTCAGGGCTACACCTTTAGTCTTGGCTCTGGTTCAGTTTCTTGGCGTTCTACTCGCTCTTCTTCTGTTCTCAGCTCCAGTTGTGAGGCTGAGATCTACGCCACAGCCATGGCGGCCCAGGAGCTACGCTGGCTCACCTACTTGCTGACCGACCTTGGAGAGCGGCCTCGTTCTCCTCCAGTGCTGTACGTCGACAACAAGGCAGCCATTGCCTTGTGTCAGGAGCACAGACTGGAGCACAGAACGAAGCACATCGCTCTACGCTACTTCCTTTGCTCGAGAGCTGCAGCAGCATGGTCAGCTTCGTCTGCGTTACGTGGCCTCTAAGGCCAACACTGCTGATGTGTTCACCAAGGCGCTTCAGCCTTGTGACCATCAGCGCTTTTGCACTCTTCTAGGCCTTGTGCCTACTGGACCTCACTTGCTTACTTCTTAAGTCTGTTTGTACTGTGATCTATATATTTATATATATACCTGCATGTTTACTCTTGCTAGGTTGTGATCATTGTACCTCTTGTTCTATTATAAACCTGCACATGAACTGGTCTTGTGACCACTTGCTTGTGCTCGGAATTTGTGTGGTATCCTTGAGATCCACCCTGAGCTTGCTTTGCCTTGCTTTGCCTTGAATGGTCTTGTGACCCCTATTTCTCCCCCACTTCGCCTATGGGGTTGTGTCAAACATTATATATGTTGTTGTGCTTGTTTAGGCTACAGTGGGTTAGCTTATAGGGGGTACACAATTCTAGGGTTAGGTACTTGTACTGTTTTCACAGCTAGTTCATTCATTTCCTGTTCATTCATTTCAACACGAGTGTGCGTGAGTGTATGTGTGCGAGTGTGCGGGTGGGGGTGTGTGTGGGGGGGTGTGTATGTGTGAATGTGTATGAGATTGTGTGTGTGCAAGTGTGTATGTGGGGGTGTGTGTGTACATGCAAGTATGTGTGTGGTAGTGTGTGTGTGGGAGTGTGTGTATGTGTGTGTGTGTGTGTGGGAGTGTGAGTGTGTGAGTGTGTGTGTGTGTGTGTGGGATTGTGTGTGTGTATGTGCAAGTGTATGTGTGTATGAGTGTGTGCGAGTGTGTGTGTGTGTGTGCGAGTGTGTGCGTGTATGTGTGCGAGTGTGCGGGTGGGGGTGTGTGTGAGGGGTGTGTGTAGGTGTGAATGCGTATGAGAGTGTGTGTGTGCGAGTGTGTATGTGGGGGTGTGTGTGTACGTGCGAGTGTGTGTGTGGGAGTGTGTATGTGTGTGTGTGTGTGTCCGAATGTGTGTGTATGTGTGTATGTGTATGTGTGTGTGTGCGTGTATATGTGGGGGTGTGTGTGTACGTGAGAGTGTGTGTGTGCGAGTGTGTATGTGGGGGTGTGTGTGTACGTGCGAGTGTGTGTGTGGGAGTGTGTGTGTGTGTGTGCAAATGTGTGTGTATGTGTGTATGTGTATGTGTATGTGTGCGTGTGTATGTGTGTGTGTATGTGCAAGTGTGTATGTATGAGTGTGTGCGAGAGTGTGTATGTGTGCGAGTGCGAGCGTGTGTGTATGGGTGTGTGTGAATGCGAGTGTGTGTGTGTATGTGTGCGAGTGTGCGGATGGGGGTGTGTGTTGGGGGGTGTGTATATGTGAATATGTATGAGAGTGTGTGTGTGCGAGTGTGTGTGTGTGTGCGAGTGTGTGTGTGTGTGAATGTGTGAGAGTGTGTGTGTGCAAGTGTGTGTGTGCGAGTGTGTGTGTGTGTGAATGTGTGTGTATGTATGTGCAAGTGTGTGTGTATGAGTGTGTGCGAGTGTGTGTGTGTGTGTGCGAGTGCGAGCGTGTGTGTATGAGTGTGTGCGAATGCGAGTGTGGGTGTGTATGTGTGCGAGTGCGAGTGTGTGTGTGTGTGTATGTGTGCGAGTGTGCGGGTGGGGGTGTGTGTGGGGGGGTGTGTATGTGTCAATGTGTATGAGAGTGTGTGTGCGACCGTGTATATGGGGGTGTGTGTGTACGTGCGAATGTGTGTGGGAGTGTGTGTGTGGGAGTGTGTGTATGTGTGTGTGTGCGAGTGTGTGTGTGTATGTGTAAGTGTGTGTGTATGAGTGTGTGCAAGAGTGTGTATGTGTACGAGTGGAAGCGTGCGTGTATGTGTGTGTGCGAATGCGAGTGTGTGTGTTTATGTGTGTGTGTGCGAGTGTGTGTGTGTATGTATGTGCAAGTGTATGGGAGTGTGTGCGTGCGAGTGTGTGTGTGTGTGCATATGTGTGTGTGAGTGTGCGTGTGTGTATGTGTGTGTGTGTGAGAGAGTGTGTATGTGAGTATGTGTATGTGTGTGTGGAGGGAGTAGTATGTGTGGGTGTGAGTGTGTGTGTTTGCACATCCGTCGAAGATTACACGAGGATATGTTTCTCTCATCACTTGAGATCTAACTCTAGTTATTGGCTTTATTTGTGTGAGCAGGCAATCCAGAGCAGACGTCCAACAGTGTCAGCATCGTCATCACGACTGGTGCTCGGGGATTCAAACGATAAGAACTTCAAAGCCTACCGGGCGAGCGTTCCGGCCGACTTTTGACTTCTGGAGGGGACCGTTAAAGCGTACCTTAATGGAGAGCATCCTGGCGAGCGTACTAAGGTGCACTACCATTGTGTGATCGAGGTGCACTCTGGTGTCGCTGTGCCGCCTGACGATGATTTCACGAGGTATAGTAGATACCCGCAGTATGCACGCGCTACACCGATGTTCTACGGGAAGCCCTGGTTTTCCGATGTCACAATCGAGGGCGAGGACGACAACAAAGTCAAGCAGATTTGGCGAGCGAAACTCCTTTGTGTGTTTACGCTGCGACGGACACTGGAGACGGTTGATGTTTCCGGCGACACAACAGAAGAGCAGATTACGGAGCAACTCGCATTCTGCCGTTATTACAGTGAGACCGCACAGTCTCCGACGACTGACATGAAGTCACTAAAGTGGTGGCCATCAGGCCGTGGTTATGGGGTGCTGCCGGTTGAGAGTATATTGCGTGTGATTCATGTCGTACCCAACACAGTAGATCCGGCTCACCCCAACGCAAAATTTATCCTGAACCATTTTAGATGGTAGGTTGTATATTCTGTAAATATTGTAACTAATTCTTGGGCACAAAATAACTGTTACATGGCTTTGCTTGAATTAGAAAGATTATATAAACTTTAGGTGTAGCCATATTACACCCTATCACATTTTGGTAAAGTTGGATGCGTCTTTGTTTCTGAATGCGATGTTAGCGGTTAGTAGTATACCGAGTAGACTTTGTGCCTCGGGCAGCTGTGCAGTATTCGGCTGCTGATTCGACTGCCAGAGGCACTGGCGACAGCTCAGCGAGTAAGCCAGCTTGAACAACTGGCCAAACATCTGTGATTTTTTTTTTTTTTTTTTTTTTTGCCTTTTATTTTGCACGGCGATAGCTCAGCGGGTAAGCCAGCCTGAACGGCTGGCCAGACAGCTCGGTTGTTTTGTGTTTTTTTCCTTTTGCCCTCTATCATTACTGTTCTAGCTGCCAGAATAGTACAGGTATTGCTGGAGCTGTCTTCATTTGCCTTGCGAGTGTACTACCGCGGTGGATTATTCCATCGTGCGGGCAGAACAGCTGATTCCCCCAGTCCAACACCTGCTCCACGTCACTGCTACACATTACCCTTTGCTTCGTGCAACTGCCCGCGACATGACTAAACCTGTCTGCGTGGATGATGTAAAGTTCCTGTCAGCAGAAAAATGCACCGCGTCAACACTTTGCCTGCTTCACTGTTTCAAAAGCGACAAACGAGGCAATACGAAATTTAGAGCTACACCTGCCCATACACAGATTGAGTCCTCCAGCGGGGCAAGAAGAAAAGATTCCAGTTGTGCAAGGTCGGCGAAATCCGCCGCGTTGTCATGTGATTCGAGGCAGACATGAACCCCACCTCCCCTCTGCTACCCCCATGACTCTCTGCATCTTTAGTACCCTCACACACCCTCTCTTCCCCCTCTCCCTTTCCTTCTCCTCTCAAACGACCTCGTTCCTGCTCTGCCTTTGTGTCTCATTTTGGAAATTCAAATTTCGAGTTTCAAAGTCAACTTTCCACCGCCTTGGCCGAGCTTATCCGATCGCGCCCCGTCCCGAGCCTTATCATTCACGCCCCGCTGTCACTCGTTTGGTGACCCAATGACATGACGGTGCGTTTTCTATCCCGTTATAGCCTTTTTTTTTTGTCGTCGAGCCGCTTCTGCTTGCGCTCTTTATTATCACGGTCCCGCATATTATAAATACCTACAGAAGCATGTTGCTGGCTACACGCTTCTGTAGGCTGCTACACGCTTCTGTAGGCTATTAGTCTCAAGTCTGTAACGATGGCCCGCGGCAATCCGAAAAACTTAGTCCCTCCCGCTATGATGCATTTGCAATCTCGGCCCTCCTTGCCTCGTCTAAGCAAGGAGAACCACAAGTACCTTTCGACCAACGCTGTCTCAGGAACTTAGCGTTAGTAAAAATTAGTTTCTTGAATCGTGCTTTCGTATGTGATGTTTTGAAGTGATTTCTTTTTAGCTATTTTGTTGCAGGTGTTGCTGATGTAGCTGACGATGCAGCCGACGAAGCTCAACCCAATCGCCAGCCCACCGGGGCACGGAGTCAGCAAACTCGACGGAGCCAGATTGACAAATCCCCCCCAACAGTCACTGGTACGCGGGCTAAGGACACGGCGCTCCCTACGGCGACAAATCCCGCCCTTCACCAACAGCCTGTCGTCACCTCTGCTTCGCCCGTCGAGTCTTCTCCTGCCGGTTCACCTGAACGCACTGGTGAACGTCGTTCCCCTGCTGTAGCGACGGTGGTTGCAAACGTCGATGCAGCCGTCGCTAACAAACAAGATGCTGCTTCTGCGGGTGAGTGAATGTTTATGTGACACGCTTCATCCGTGCTTACACTCGCTAATTTTGCTGTTCTGTTGCGTCTGTTTTCAGCCCTAGCAAGCAAAACTGGAGATCACCCGATGGAGTTGGCGATGACCCGGGCGATAGGGGAGGCTTATACTACCAATGCTACGCGTTTTCGCGAGGAGGGACGGCACCATATGGAGGTGAATGACGAGCTTCAACTGAAGGCTGACGACCAGGAAAAGCAGAACGTGGAGCTTCGTCAGCAGCTTGAGAAGAGGGACACGGATCTGAAGGATGCATTGGCGCTGTTGAAGCATCTGGCGGAGAAAATTGCCGATGATCAGCTCGCCAAAGTGAATTGGCGGGTGAGTATTGCCCTCTATTTTGCCGTCTGTGCTGTTTACAAACAGTCACTAATGCGATGTGATTTTTTAATTTCAGGTCCACATCAAGGAGTCGTGCGACGACTTCCTTTTCAAGCCGGATACGCTCAACCTGTCACCCGATCCTGATGCGATGCTCGCAGCTTTAATCAGTAAGTGACGGTCAGAAACTGTCGCGTTCGTTTTTCATTGTTTTTTACTTCCTCGTCGTCATTCGTGTTTTGTGCAGAGAAAGTTGGTTACATCGCTGACTCCCCTCAGAGCTTGAAGCTCGCTGCCTTGCTGAAGGTCAATGGCATTTTGAAGCACGTGTGTATGCGCTTCAACGACCGGATCGGTAAAATCTACCGATTCTGTCGCCTTTATGCTCTGAGCCTAGAACCATGCGTTTTTATGGAGAGGAAGCGGAACTTCAAGGGAGAGCTAACCCTGCAGGTGCCTGAGGACTTACTCACGAAATGTGCTGACTACGTTGAGCGTTTTGCCGACAGTAAGTGATTGAGGTTTTTTTTTATCGGTTGCATTAATTGGGTTTCGGGATTAACGTGGCATGTTCTGATGTATGTTTTGGTCCGTTGCAGAGTTCTTGGGGATTCCCTGGCACGTCAACAGGAGAGGTAGTCCGTTTTCCAGCCCTGCCTTCGTTAAGTGTGCTTCTCTGTGGGATTCGAGTGGCGCCTTGCCAATTGGTTTATTTCCTGTTCAGCTGCTTGTCATCCTTGCAGCGGTAAGTTTAACATGAGCACTTTATTTGCCTTTCACATTGTGCAATTTAACAAGTGTTGATTGCTTTTCTTCGTGCAGGTGAGGTTCAAGTTCCGCCATCCCGGCGCCACGAAGGCCCAGTTGGATCTGTCAGATATGTATCACATAGCTGTTGTAGGCTATAGTGGGGTAGCACATATGGGGTACAGCTTTCTAGGGTTGTATTTGTACCCAACTTTCACTTAGTCATTTCATTCTCGTTCCAACTTTCTCATGGTATCGAGCAGGTTCCCTAGTGGGAACTGTGCCTAGGGCCCACCACATCAAAAGTTTTTTTTTCCTGCCCGGAGCGCGCTCCCCGAGTCGCGCTCCCCTCTCTGCCTTCGTCGAGCTGCCCTCGCGGCCACGTCGTGTCGCCCCTAGCGGCCTCCCTTTCGCCGCCCTCAGTTGCGGCCCCGTCGCCGCCCTCAGTTACGGCCCCGTCGCCGCCCTCAGTTGCGGCCCGTCGCCGCCCTCACTTGCGGCCCCGTCGCCCTCACCTGCGGCCCCACCGCCCTCAGTTGCGGCCCCGCCGCCCTCAGTTGCGGCCCCGTCGCCGCCCTCAGTTGCGGCACGTCGCCGCCCTCACCTGCGGCCCCGCCGCCCTCACTTGCGCCCCCCCCCGCCCTCAGTTGCGGCCCCGTCGCCCTCACCTGCGGCCCCGCCGCTCTCACCTGCGGCCCCCCCCCCGCCCTCAATTGCGGCCCTGTCGCCCTCACCTGCGGCCCCGCCGCCCTCACCTGCGGCCCCGCCGCCCTCACTTGCGGCCCCGTCGCCCTCACCTGCGGCCCCGCCGCCCTCACCTGTGGCCCCGCCGCCCTCACTTGCGGCCCCGTCGCCCTCACCTGCGGCCCCGCCGCCCTCACCTGCGGCCCCGCCGCCCTCCACTGAGGCCCCGTCGCCCTCACCTGCGGCTCCGCCGCCCTTACTTGCGGCCTCGTCAACTGCTGCAGCGCCGCCCGCCACCCGAGCCGCCCGAGCCGCCTCACCCAGCCGAGCCGCCGACCGCCGCGCCGCCCTGCAGCAACACAACTGAGCCACCCAGCAGCAGAGCAGCCGAGCCGCCGAGCCGCCGAGCCGCCCTGCAGCCGAGCCGCACTGCAGCCGAGCCGCCCAGCCACCCAATAGCCGCGCCGCCGTGCAGCTGAGCCGCCGGGCCGCCGTGCCGCCGAGTCGTCTAGCAGCCGAGCCGCCGAGCCGCCCTGCAACCGAGCCGCCCTACCGCCGAGCCGCCCGAGCAGCCCTGTCCGGTGAGTACAGCGCCTCTGTCACTACACTGCCCTTTCCCTACTGCTTGCACTGCTAGTCTACTGCTGTCATGGCTACCCCTAGTGTCCTCGCTTTTGACGCTGAGGGTCGAGCCATTGACTTTGACGTCTGGGTCGACGACCTGCAGCTGTTCTTACAGTGCGATGGAGCAGATGGTCTCTCTCTCTTTGACCTCACCTCTGGCGCCTCTCCTGCCCCTGCTGCTGATGCTGATGCCACTGTCAGATGATTATATTACTGATACATATATTTAGGCTGTAGTGGGGTAGCCCATAGGGGGTACAACCCAATTAGGGTTGGTACTTGTACTTGTTTCATTTCATAGTGCACTCATTCCTCGCCTCTATCTCAACATGGTATCGAGGAGGTTCCCTAGTGGGAACTGTTCCTAGGGCCCACCTACTATTCCGTCCTGCCCGGAGCGCACTCTGCCCTAGCCCGAGTCGCGCTGAGCCTTTTTTTTTCCTTTGGCGGCCCGATCGCGTCGAGCCGCCCGCGAAATTCTGACGCGCCACCTACGCGGCCTCGTCGCGCCGCCCCTAGACGGCCGCGCCGCGTCGCGCGTGCCGCCCTCCAGTCGCGCGCCGCCCCCCCCTCTGACCCTCGCGACGCCGGCGCCGTCGCTGACGGCCCCGCGATCGCCTGCGACGGCCCCGCCGTCCCCTCTACCGGCCCCTCCGCTGCGCTTGACGGCCCCGCCGTCCCCTCTGCCGGCCCCGCCGCTGCGCTTGACGGCCCCGCCGTCCCCTCTGCCGGCCCCGCCGCTGCACCCGACGGCCCCGCTGTCCCCTCTGCCGGCCCCGCCGCTGCTTCAGACGGCCCCGCCGCTGCACTTGACGGCCCCGCCGTCCCCTCTGACGGCCCCGCCGCTGCACCTAACGGCCCCGCCGTCCCCTCTGACGGCCCCGCCACTGCACCTACCGGCCCCGCCGCTACCCCTGACGGCCCCGCAGCTGCATCTTCAGGCCCCGCCGTCTCACCTGCCGGCCCCGCTGCTGTACCTGACGGCCCCGCCGCTTCACCTACCGGCCCCGCCACTACCCCTAACGACCCCGCAGCTGCATCTCCCGGCCCCGCCGCCCCAGCAACTGCGCCGCCCCAGCAGCCGAGCCGCCCCAGCAGCCGAGCCGCCCCAGCAGCTGAGCCGCCCGAGCCGCCGAGCCGCCGAGCCGCCCGAGCCGCCCAGCAGCCGACCCGCCGAGCCGCCCGAGCCGCCCGAGCCGCCCGAGCCGCCTGCACTGCCCTGTCTGGTGAGCACTGAGCTTTACCCTGCGCACTGCCCTTACCCCACTGCTGTCATGGCTACCCCCAGTGTCCTCACCTTCGACGCTGAGGGTAGAGCCATCGACTTTGACGTGTGGGTAGACGACCTGCTGCTTTTCCTACAGTGCGACAGAGCTGACGGACTCTCTCTCTTTGATCTCACTTCTGGTGCCTCTCCCGCCCCTGCTGCTACTGAGGATGCCACTGTTCGCTCACAGTGGGCCACACGCGATGCTGCTGCACGTCTTGCTGTGCGTCGCCACCTCCCTCCCTCTGAGCGTGCACACTTTGGGTCGTACAAGAGTGCTCAGACCTTGTACGACGCCGTTATTGCACGCTACTCCACCCCTGCCACTGCTGCATTGAGCCGCCTCATGCTACCGTACCTCTTTCCCGACCTTGCTTCTTTTGCCACACTCGCCGACCTCATTACCCACCTGCACACTAGTGACGCTCGCTTCCGCGCTGCGCTTCCTGCTGAGTTCTGCGCCAAGAACCCCCCCCCCCAGTACTTCACTCTCTACTACATTGTCACCCGCCTCCCTGACTCCCTCCGCGGAGTCAGGGACGACTTACTCTCAGTCTGCCCCACCACTCTCACTGTTAACCTCCTCGAGAAGTCCCTCCTAGCAGCCGAGAAGAGCATTCTCGCTGTAGGGGCCTCTCGTGGTGACCCGCGCACCCCCATCTTTGAGGGGTGTTCCCCCTCCCCCCTCCTGCCCTCTGTCGCCCCTGCTGCTACGGCCGACCTAGTTGGTTTTGAGTCGGTCGGTGCGGCATCTGCCCCCAGTGGGAGAAGTCGCTCTGGCAAGGGCAAAGGGGGCAGGAGCGGTGGTGGAGGCGGCGGGGGCGGTGGGAGCGGCGGTGGAGGCAGCGGAGGAGGTGGGGGTGGTAGCGGGAGTGGTGTCGGGAGTGGAGGTGTCAGCGGCGGCAGTGGAGGCGGGGGTGGCAGCGGCGGTGGTGGTGGGAGTGGAGGCGGAGGCGGCGGTGGCGGCAGCGACGGTGGGAGTGGCAGTGGCAGCGGAGGTGGTGGCGGCGGCGGCGGAGGAGGCGGCGGAGGAGGTCGTGGCTCGTCGCAGAGGAGTGGCTCCGGTGGCGGTCAGCGCCAACAGCTGCGGCAGCAGCGTGGTCAGGAGACCCTCTCCCCGCAGCAGCTCCGTGAGTGGTACGCTGCACGTCAGAGGGGTGGAGGTACTGGTCCGTGCACCTACGTCTTGCGCACGGGCGACCGTGCGGGTGAGCCGTGTGGTGGTCCACACCCCGCCCAGCGCTGCTTCGGCCGCCTGAATGACGCTTGGCGCCGCCAGTTTCCTGACGCCTCTGAGATCCCTCGCTGGGACCAGCTGTCTAGGGCAGGAGTAGCTATCTTTGATCTTGACTTTGATGCTATTCTTGCTGCCATGTATGCTGTGACCATTAGTGAGGAGGGTGACTGTTACCGGTGTTTCCCGCCTGACCCGGGCATTGGTACTGCGGCTCTAGGTGCTGTTGAGGCTGCTGCTCCAGGTGCTGGTGAGGCTGTCGCTCTAGGTGCCAGTGAGTCTGTGTCCTCAGGTGCTGGTGAGTCTGCTCTCTCAGGTACTGCGTCGGCTCCGCCCTCTCTCACCTTCACTCTTGACTCAGGGGCGTCTCGCTCCTTCTTTCGAGACCGCACCACACTCACGCCGCTTAGTCGGCCAGTGGCGGTCTCCCTGGCGGACCCCTCTGGGGGTCCTGTTCTGGCTCGCTACTCCACTGTCCTGCCGTGCCCTGCGGTCCCGTCTGGCGCCCTGTCCGGTCTCTACCTCCCCTCGTTCTCTACGAACTTGGTGGCGGGTGCTGACCTACAGGATGCAGGGGTCGACCAGTTCACCCCTACACGCCGACGGGACACCCACTGCACGGACGCGGACACGGGTCGACACTTGACCACGTTCACACGTGGGCCGGGGTCGAGCCTGTACACACTCACTGTTCCGTCTCCTCCTCCTGCGTCTGGTCAGGTAGCTGCGTCGGGTCAGGTGTTTGCTGCAGCGTCCAGGTCTGGTCCTGAGTCTGCCCCCTGCTCGTGTCGCCTCCTGTCCCACGAGACCCTCCTGTGGCACCACAGGATGGGTCACCCCTCTCTGCCTCGTCTCCGGGGCATGGCATCTCGCCTTCTTGTCTCTGGCCTTCCCCGGTCCCTCCCTCCCCTTCCTCAGGGGCCTGGCCCTCCCTGTGTCCCCTGTGTCGAGGGTCGCCTGCGGGCTACCCCTCACTCCTCCCCGTTTCCTCCGACGGAGGCCCCGATGCAGACGCTTCACATGGACGTGTGGGGCCCAGCCCGCGTCCGTGGACAGGGTCATGAGCGCTACTTCCTGCTGGTGGTTGACGACTACTCGCGTTACACCACAGTCTTCCCCTTGCGCAGCAAGGGTGAGGTCACTGAGGTGTTGATCGACTGGATCCGCGCAGCTCGTCTCCAGCTCAGGCGGAGCTTCGGCTCGGACTTTCCTGTTTTGCGTCTGCACTCGGACAGAGGCGGAGAGTTCTCCTCCGGCCTTCTGCGAGCCTACTGTCGGGCACGAGGCATCCGCCAGACCTTCACGCTTCCGGAATCTCCACAGCAGAATGGGATTGCTGAGCGCCGCATCGGCATTGTCATGGACGTCGCCCGTACGTCCATGGTGCATGCGGCTGCCCCCCATTTTCTATGGCCGTTTGCGGTGAGGTACGCCGCACACCAGATCAACCTTCAGCCCAGGGTCTCGAGACCGGAGACCTCCCCAGCTTTGCTGTGGACCGGGAAGGTTGGCGATGCGTCGGCGTTCCGTGTCTGGGGATCTCGGGCGTTTGTCCGCGACTTGTCTGCGGACAAGCTGTCCCCTCGTGCTGCTCCTTGCGTCTTCCTGGGTTTCCCCCCTGATGCACCTGGGTGGCAGTTTTACCACCCCACCTCTCGTCGTGTTCTGTCCTCCCAGGACGTCACGTTCGACGAGTCGGTTCCCTTCTACCGGCTCTTCCCCTACCGCACTCCGTCCCTCCCCCCCCCGCCCCTCTTCCTGGTCCCAGGTCCCCCCCCGGTAGACCCCCTCCCCCCTCAGGGTCCTGCCCCTTCAGGTGTGTCTCAGGTAGACGCGGTCGAGCCTGTCGAGGTCACTGGTGACTCTGGTGCTGCTGCGGGTGCGGAGCCTCAGGGTGCTGAGCTTGGGGGTACTGAGCCTGGGGGTGCTGTGCCTGGGGGTGCTGAGCCTGGGGGTGCTGAGCCTGGGGGTGCTGTGCCTGGGGGTGCTGAGCCTGGGGGTTCTGCGTCTGGGAGTGCTGCGCCTGCTGCTTCTGTTCCTGGTGGTTCTCCAGACCGGTCTTCGCGCCGCGAGCCGCTCTCTCCTCTGGAGCTGCGT